CCATGCTCGGCTGGGAGAGAGCTGAGGACGAGCAGGAGAAACAGGCTTGTTTTCAAGCCAGACCCAGCTGCATGAAACCCCATCACCGTGCACTGCACTAAGAACCGAAAGGCGGTGCGTGTTGGGAGCGGGGGGCACTACGACCACAGTGATGTGTTGCGCGCCCTCTACGAAAAGCAAATGCGCTGGCACAACGGGACAGCGCATTGTCGTGGCTGTGGCTGGCGTCGCCGCCGACAGCCACCCAAACGACAAACGCCTGGCAGCATATGCCGCAGATACATGCCAGCGAGGCTGCACAAGGCAGTTACAGAGCTGTATAAGACACGCGTAATGAATGCGCGTGCAGTTACAAGGCAGCAATCGGGTGTACCTGTGGTGGTCCTGTCCTCTGGTCAACTGGGCCTATGGCCTAGTGGGTCAAGTTGTCGGTTTCAGACGAAACCGAACTCGCTATCTGTATCCTCAGATAAAAAATTCTACACGTCTGAAAAAATCATACGAACTTAAAAGTCAAATCTTCTTGATCAGATGAGAACAAACACAAAATCTTAGGATTAAGATGAATACAAAAAAACCAGTCTTAAACGCAGACCATCAGACCAAATTGGTCTGATAACGAGAACCCTGATGTAGCACAAATAACATCAAATGGCGAAAATATAATATAGCTGATTTATTACCATAATCCAGCACAATTCGAGAGGATGCTTATACCGAGTTTGTTTGTCTTTTTCGGTTTTTTTTAATCGAAATAAAAAATAATTCATCGAAAAAAAAATCAATTCAGATCGATCGCAATAGGTTGCTCCGCAACCCAAAAAAAAACGTTATAGTATCTACCATGCACTATGACACGGTCTTCCCGTATCCTGCCTAAACATACGGTATGCCGGATTATCACAACACGGTTTATAACGATATTATCTACAATAACGGCACTCGCAGCTACCGTACTTACCCATGTTCTGTAGCTGACTCGCAGGTGCTGTTTTTCAAGAACGGACTTTCTTTCAGCTTCTCTCCTAATCTCCCCCTCCCCCTCCCTCTCCCTCTACCATGCCCCGTCTCTCCCTCCTCTCTCCCCACAGCAGTCACCATCCGCGCCCGTCCCCCCCACACCGGCAGCCCACCTCCCCCACTTGCACCCCCAACGGTGCCGCCTTGGCTGTCCGACTCAGCTGCTCGCCCGGCAGTGGACACGGAAGCACCAGGATCCGCTCCCACCCCTCTGTACACGTTATACACTGATGCGTTGCTGGCAGTGGACTCGCGCAGACTAGTCTGCACCCCCTCCCGAGTGCTGTCTCCATTTGTAAGCCTGTCTCCCCCATGCCACCTGTCACCTTCTTGCTTGACCCGGCTTAAATGCTCTGTCTTCCTCTCCTCCTCCCTCCTCTCCTCCTCCCTCCTCTCCTCCCTCCTCTCCTCCTCCCTCTCCTCCTCCCTCCTCCCCCCTTCCCACCTCACACCCCCCTCCTCCCCATCGCGCACGCGCCGCAGCTTCACCGTGCGCAGTGCCTCGGGGCTCACGCCATAGCTCAGCCGCAGGGGCGCTTGAGGCCGGATCATCCTCGCCACCTCCGGAACCACCTCCTGCTGCCCCCGCCCGCCCCTCCGCACTCCCCTCCCCCTTCCGCGTGCCATCATGATTATCCTACCCCTCCCCTCCGCCCTGCGTGCTGCTGACAGCACTCTCCCCACACCCCCTGTTCCCACCTCCTGTGACTCATCATCTTGATATTCATCCCCGTCATCATCCATACCCACGTCCCCATACCCACCCGCATCCCCATTCCAATCTCCATCCCAATCCTCATCTCCATCATCCTCCTCCTGCTCCTCCTCTTCCCTCTCATCCTCCTCTTCCTCCTCCTCTTCCTTCTCATCCTCCTCCTCCTCCTCCTCAACCTCCTGGCTGCTGCCACTAGGAGCTCGCCTGCTTAAGAACCCCCTCTCCTCGTTCCACCTCCCCACTCCGCTGCTCTCCCTCCCTCCGCCACTCTTTCCCTTCTCATCACCTCGCTCCCCCTCACCCCTCTCCGTCTCATCAATGCCCCACCCCTGCATGCCTCCCTTGCCCCACACGCCTGCTGTGCTCACAGAGGGTGACTGTAACGAGGGTGATGGCTGCCCAGGCCTGCTGATCGACGGTGACAGTGACACTAACGGGGAGTTGGTGACTTCAATGGAGGGCAGCGAACTACCAGAGGGAAGGAACGGCGAGCGGGAGGGGGAGGCGGAAAGGGAGGGCGAGGAAGGGGAGGAGGGGGAGGAGGGGTCGGAGGGAGGAGGGATGGATGTCTGTTCCTTCGATCCAGAGAGTGACAGAAACGGGGAGTTGGAGATTTCAATGGAAGGCAGCGAACTACCAGAGGGGAGGAACGGAGAGGCGGAGGGAGAGGGTGAAGGGAGGCGGGAAGAGGGGGAAGAGGGGGAAGAGGGGGAAGAGGGGGAGGAGGGGGAGGGCGAGGAAGGGTGGGAGGGAGAAGGGATGGATGTCTGTCCCTTAGAGTCAGAAACAGAGGCAGACACCTGGATGTCATAGCTTGGCCACGAGCCACTAGGATTCTGACATGTGGCACTAAATGCTGCTCCTGACGCCACCCCACCCAGGCCATCCCCCTTCTGCCACGTTCCCTCCTTCCTGGCTTCACCAGACCAAGAGCTCGCCGAACCACGGCTTCCCGAACTAGAGTCACCAGAGCTCCGTCGTGCCGAGCCTCCGTTGAGATGCTCCCTGCGTGGGCGGATCGCTTCTTGTATGTTGGCGCACTGCAGAGCAGTCTGATGTTCGCCCCCTGCTGCCTCCTCATCTGCCTCCTTCTCCTCCGCTACTTTAGGCACTGCTGCAACGGTCCATGCAACAGGTGGTGTGTCCGCTTCACCATGCCTTGCTCCTGCCCTGCCATGCGTCTCACCTAGCTTTTTCCCTAGCACATCAGAAGCAGCTGATCGCCCAACCAAGGCAGACACTCTCGCTGCTGCTGCCATGTCCCCTCCAACCGCAGCAGCAGACCCAGCAGCGACAGCAGCAGCAGCACTTGCGGCATGCCCAGTCTCTCTCACTGCCCCATACCTGTCAAACAGACGCCTGCCCGTCTTACCCATCATCCCACCCCCAATGGGCGAGGGCGAGGTGGCACTGTTGTCGTCTGCCTCATCGCCCCACACGGGCATTCTCCTCAGCGGACTCTCATCCCTCTCCTCCTCACCTCTCCTCTCCTCCTCGCCTCTCCTCTCCTCCTCCCCCTCCTCGCCACCCTCCATTCTCTTCTCCTCTTCCTCCACCTTTTTTCCCTCTCTCCCCCAATGCCTCACTCCCTCACCTCCTCCCCCACTCCGCTCGCCCTCCCCTTTCTTCCCCTCCACCCTCCCCTCAGTCTCCAGTGCCCGGCTGGTCTCCCTTATCCTCCTTTCAATCTCCTCCCTGACAGCGCTCAAGCCCCCTCCCTCTGATGCAGACAGCGAGCCAGAGAGGGCGGACGGGGAGAGCAGCGAGGTGGAGAGAGGGGAGAGTGACTGTATGGGGGTGGGCTCTATTGAAGAGGTGAATGAAGATGTGAACGAGTCTGAGAGCGAGTCTGCCAAGCTGTACCGATGGGGTGGGTGTGAAGGAGCAGCAGCATTCGAGTTAGCAGCAGCATTTGAGTTTGCAGCAGCATTTGAGTTTGCAGCAGCATTTGAGTTCGCAGCAGCAGATGACTCTTTATCACTAGAAACACCAGCCGCAGCAGCAGCAGCAGAAGCAGCAGCAGACGAACGCCCTCTGTGTGACCCCCTACCATGCGACAACCCCTTGCCGATTGAATATGCCCTTGCACCCACCACATCATCGCCACAAGAACCACCCTGCGACCCTGAAAAGGAACCTGTCTGCCCGTTAACCTGCCCGTTCAGCTGCCCGCTCGAGCCCGATGCAGCGCGAGCATCTGACTGGGCACCTGAGAAAGCACCTGAGTGCGCCTGGGAGCGTGACCTGGACTTGGACCACGATCGCAGGCGCAGGCCTGACCTGGACGGGCCTTGAGAGTAGGAGTTGGACTGAGAGGGGGACGGGGTAACTGACAGTGTGGACTCAGAAATTGGGGTTGTTTCTGATATTGTCTCAATGTCCATGCGGTCTTCATCTGCTACAGCCTGCATAGCCTGACTTGGACGGTTTGACTCCTGATTGAAGAGGTTTGATTCCTGATTTGGGCGGCTTGATTTCGGATTTGGGCGGCTTGAGTTCTGATTTGGGTGGCTTGAGTAGGGTGCTCCCTTTCCTGCCTCCAACCCGCTTCTCTCCTCCCCTCCTGCTGCTGCTCGTCCCCTCTCCACCCCCTTCTCTCTTCCCCTCTCCATCCCCCACTCTCCTCCCTTCTCCATCCCCTTCTCTCCTCCCCTCTCCATCCGCCTCCCTGCTTCCCATTCTCCTCCTCTAGTGCCTCCCTCACCCACTCCCAGCCCAACGAACGTCCCCCCAGCATGCATCACTGCATGCCGCACCACCACTGGCACTCTGGCCTGCGCTGCTGCTTCCATCCCATATCCACCTGCCATTTCTCCTGCTGCCATGCCCCCTCGCCCTGCTGCCTCCCTCCCATATCGATCTGCCATGTCTGCTGCCACGCCAGCCCTACCTGCCGCTGCTGCACCAACTGGCATGGCTCTTTCGGCTGCCGCTGCTGCTTTTGCTGTTGCAGGTACCTTCACTGCTGCAACTGCCACATTTGCTGGAGCTGCTGCTACAGCCGGAGGGGCCTGCTTTGCTGCTGCTACAGCAGGTGGTGCTGGCTTCGCTGCTGCAACAACTGCTGCCTTCTGCCGCCCTGCACTCATCTCTCTCTTCGCCTGCAGCCAGTTCCTCATATACCCTCCCCTCCCCCGTCCCACTTCCCCTCCTGTCCCTCCTCTCGTACCCACAGCCCCACCCTTCCCTGCGACCTCAACCACCTTCCCCACTTCCCCATCTCCTCCCTGCCCTCCCTTTCCTCCCCCTCTCCCGAACGAGCCACCTCGGTTTGGCGGCAGCGCCAGTGCTGCTGCCTCTCGCCCCTCCTTGCGCCCTGCTGCCTCCGCCAGTGCCCCGTGCTCATGGCCCTTATTTCTCTGAGGCGCCTCAAAGACAGCCGCTCCCTGCTCATACCCCTTCCCTGCAGCCTGCGAGCCGGATGCTGAGGTGTCGCAGCTTGATTGGGGCGAGGAGAGGGAGGAGAGGGGGGCGGCGGAGGAGAGAGGGGAGAGCGAGGAGGCGGGAGTGAGGGAGGCGAGAGGGGTGATGCTGCGAGAGAGAGAGTGAGGTTCTTTGTCGTTGGATAGGGTGTTAGAGAGAGCGGATGGAGAGGTGGAGGGCGAGGAGAGGGAAGGTGGGGTAGAGACGGAGGAGAGGGGTGTGAGGGTCTGAGACATGGAGCCATTGAGTTGCGAAAGAGACCCTTCCATTTGAGAGAGGGAGCCTTCCATTTGAGAGAGGGAGCCTTCCATTTGCGAAAGAGATCCGTCAAGTTGTGATAGAGAACCCTCCATATCCGCTCCACTCCCTCCTCTCTTCCCACTCCCCTCCATCCCTCTCCCATCCTCGGGAGAAGCACCCCAGAAGCTTCCCATGATGGACCCAGCAGCACCAGCCACCATGCCCCAGATCCCTGGCTGTAGGGCGGGATCGCCCCCTGCTGCAGCAGCCATGGCTTCCACAGCCGCATCTACCGTGAGGGCCGAGGGGGAGGACGGCACGGCAGCTGTAGCACTGGACGCCTGAGAAGAAGCAGAGAGGGAGCGAGAGGAGGAGGCGGAGGGTCGAACACGGTTGGGTCTACGTTGAGGGTTCAGCTGTGGGGTGACCGCAAAAGCAGCCTTGGGCATACCAACGGCCTGAACCACCGCACCTGCCCCAGATACACCTGCTCCAGATGCACCTGCCCCATCCGCAACAGCAACACCGGCAGCAGCATCAGAAGCAGGGGGGAACGCCCCTGGAGTCACCTCAGAAGCTTCCCTAGAAGCTTCAGTGTCTGTGCCATACGCAGCGTGCCTGCTGGACCATGCATAACCGTTCTTCACCGCTCTGGGCTGTGGGGTGTAGGGCCGGCGGGGGTCGGGAGAGGTGCTCTGAGGCGCTTCAGGGAGGGACGGCAGGCGGTGCGGCCTTCTAGGGGTAGGCGCGTGCGAAGGGGAAGGGGAGAGGGAGGGGGACGGATATTCATCGGGACCGGAATTGGCATCAAGAGATTTGTTGCGAGAGAGGGTGTGATGGTGGTCGTGTGGAGTGATGGGGGTGTGCGAGGTGGGGGTGAGGATGGTGGGGCTGCAATCAGGGCCCACGCTGCAGCTGGCCACAACAGACCGCCCTAGATCGCCCTCTCCTCCTGCTCCCGCTCTTGCTGCTGCTGCTGCTGCTGCTGCAACACCAACTTGAGCACCAGCTGCAGCCGCCTTGGCATGTGGAGCAGCGCCATGAGTTTGGTCGCCCTGAGGCTTCTGAACGGACTTGACACTGTCAACACGGAACCCCATACTGTCCACCCGCACCCCGCCTATCCCCGACCATGCCGCTGACCCCATCGTCCCCTCCTCGCCCTCCCCCCCTCCTCCTCTGCTTCCGTTCACCCCCCTCCCTTTCCTCCACTTCCCCCCTCCGCGCCCCTTCATTTCTTTGATCCACTCCGGCCCACCCCCAGAGCCCACACTAGAAGCCCAGCTCATGTTCGTTTCCGTGTCTACAACCACTTCTACCCCTCTCTCCTGCCCCTCCTCCCGCTCCTCTCCCTCCCTCACTCCACCAAGCTCCCCTTCCCCTGCTCCCGTTTTTCCCCTCTCTCTACCCTTCCTCCTCTCCTCCCTCCCACTTCTGCTCCTGTTGCCTTCTCGCCTCCCTTCTCTCACACCTCCTCCCCCCAACCCCTCTCTCCTCTCCCCTCTCGCACCCCTCTCTTCTCTCCCAGCCCCCCCACCCACCTGCTGCATCCGCCTGCTTCTCAAATACTCCACCCTCGCCCGCAGCCCCCCAAACGGATCCTCCCCGCGCCCTCCCCGATCCCCTCGCCCTCCCCCGCCTCTCCTTCCCCCCACTCCCTCCATCAGTGCAGCAGCAGCAGCAGCAGCAGCGCCAGCAGAGCGCTCACTGGAGGAGAGGGAGGAGAGGGAGGACCAGGAATCAGAGTGCAGAGAGGTTGACGGCCCAGCAGACGCGGAGGGACCGCCCACGCTCGCCCCTGCTGCTGCTGCCAGGGCGCCGCTGTGGTTGCCACACAGCACAGGCAGCGGGGAGAGGCGCCGCGGAGAGAGCGGGCTTGGAGAACCATTGCCAGGAACAGCAGCAGTGGGAGAGGCAGGAACTGCAGGAGCATTACCAACAGCAGCAGTGGGAGAGGCAGGAACTGCAGGAGCATTACCAAGAGCAGCCACTGCCATATGTGCACTTCCATCCCTTCCCTGCTTCTCCCTCTCCTGCCGGCCCTTTTTCCCCCACCTGCTGGGGCTGAGCAGGTGCATACCCCCCCCTCGCCTCTCATGCTTGTGAGCGCCAGTGCCAGTGACAGCAGCAGCAGCTGCAGTCACAACGCCAACACCCAGCGCAGCTGCTGCAGCACCTGCTCCCAGCACCGCACCCAACACCCCGGCACCGCCCCCACCTGCCGTGCCAGCACCAGCAGGAACAGCAGCGGCAGCAGCAGCACTAGCACCTTCCCTTGATGCCCCATCCCCTCCTCCTCGTCCCCCCTTTCCCCCGTTCCCTCCCCCTCCCCCTCTTCCTTCCCCCCCCGCCCCTTCTGTAGCCCACGAGGGCGCCAGCATAGGCAGCAGCTGCATGAGCGCTCGGGGGGAGTTCCGCCACTCCTCCCCCTCGTCCGTTCCATATCCCCCCGCCTCCCCACCTTCCCCCCTTCCCCCGGACTCTCCTCTCTCCCTCCCCCTAGAGGTTCTATCCCCCATACCTGCTTGCCCTGCTGAATCCAAACGAGAGGCCCCAGACTGGTTCGGTCTAGGCTCGGACCCCGTCACCTGGCTCGGAGAACCATACTCGTTATAAGCAGGGCCGTTAGAAGCTTTCCTGCCACCACTGCCACCACCGCCACCGCCACTACTGCCGCCACCACCGCTACTGTTGTCACCACTGGAGCTCTGGCTGCCCGACCTGCCTCTGCTGCTCCCCCTGGAGCTGCCCTTCACAGGAAAAGCCGCCTCTGGCGACCCTCCCAGCTCACCCCGCCTCTCCATGTGAAACCTCGCCCCTATCCCCCCTCCCCATCCGCCCCTGTCCCCCTCTCCTCCTCCCCCACTCCTCCCCACGCCCCACCCTCTCCTCCACCCCGATTGGCTCGCAGAATCGCCGCCCGAATCAGATCTGGAAGAGCCGAAGCCAAAGGGGCCGAGGAAGAGGAGCACGAGGCCGTATGCAAGTAGTGACAGGCCGCCTAGAAAGCCTCCAGTCAGAGTCACCGATCGGTCCGTGCCAGCCGCCTCACTGACGGACCCCGCACACCCCTGCTCTTCCCCCTCCGCTCCTCCCCTAACATTCCCCCCCCTCCCTCCACCTCCCAGCCCCTTGCTCCTCCCAAACGCACCCTCATAATACTTCACCCCCACCCCTGCAGTGTCTTTCGCTAAGGCACGCAGGAAGCAGAGCAAGTGACCCAGGAACGACACCAGCAGCAGCGCTTGTAGCCCTGCCCCTGCCGCTGCAGCAGCAGAGGGGGGAGTGGCGCCCGTGGCAATGGCAAGAGCGACGGAGAAGAGAGAAACGTGTGAGGCGGAGGCAAGGAGGGCAGAGAGGAGGAGAGTCGTGCTGATGAAGGGACGGGCGAGGGCGAGGTAGAGCAGGTGGCAGCACGCCAGCACCAGCAGCACCGTGCTCTGCGCACACGCATCTCTTGCTGAGCTGGCAGGATCTGCTGAGCTGGCAGGATGGGCCATCCAGCTGTAGCTGGCAACAACAACGGCGAGGGAGCAGCGCAGGCAGAGGTCGAGAGGCATGTGCGCTATGCCTGCCCACCCAGACGCCCATTGCAGCCCACGCCATGCCTTATCCATGGCCGAGTGGCTGTCTGCTGTGCCGTGGCCGTATGCACTGGCTGCATGCGCACGAGCATACCCGCGCCCATGCGTGAACGAATTATCCACTTCCCACCAGCCCCCCCCTCCTCCATACCCATCGTGCTTCACAATTCTCCATTGCCCCGCATCCCCACTTCCTCCTCCTCTTCCTCCCTCCCCAAACCCAACTGGATGGACAGCTGCTGCCCGGCCAGAAAAGCCGCTTCGGCCAAAAGCTGAGCCTAAAGGCGAGCCGCTGGCTCGGCCTGAACCTGAACCACTTCCTCGGCCCGAACCTGCACCGGTAGTTCGGACCACGGATGCTCCTCCGGTCTGGTTGCCGCCCCACTGAGCCTCGAATAGCAGCCCCCAACTGCCAATGAAAGCTGGACACGTGGCAGGGTCTGTGATGTGCCACGTACCATGGGCTGAGCTGGACGAAGGGAGCTGGAGGTCAGAAAAAACAAGTAAAGGCGGTGGAGGGAGGGAGAACTGAAGGTTGGCAAGCATTGACATGAGAGAAATTAGGGTCTTGACAGACGACGAAATCAGCAAAAAGAAAGGAAAAACACCACTAGAGAGCACTCTCCCGTTCTACAGTGCACACCGGCCATAGAATACCCGCTAGACAATCGTCTTGTTCTCGAGACGTCTCCAAAAGTGGCCATACCTGGTAGACCACGGTTTTGTTCTTGCAGGCGATGTTGCGGAGGAAAAAGGCAAGGAGGAAAGGGAGATTCACCACCACCACCACCACCGCCACGAAGGGCAGGCCCGCCCAGCCTGGAGGATGGTAGCAAGCAACACAAGTTGGAAGGATTTGGAGAGACTGGGGTTTATTTACATAGTCAGACTTTCTATGTACAAAAAAAAAAAAAATATTGGTTCAAGCTGGAATGACTTGATATGATGGATTTGGCTGCTCTCAGACAATTGCCCAAGTAGGAGACTGCCTTGTGTGCTCGTCTGCACCCACGTGCACTTCTCTGGGTCGTTCTCGGGGCACTTCTTCTTTCCTTCCATTTTCTTCAGGCTTCAGCAGGTCATAATGGTCGAAGCCATTCGTTATTTTGAAGGACCACTCAGCAAAGCTGTCGCCATTGAACTCGTCTAGGCCAAACAGTTCATCCATAGAAAGTGCAAGAATTGGTTGCATAGGAGTCATTGGGGGATCATAGGGTTGAGCTTGAGCTTGGGCTTCTCCACTGCCTCGAGCACCTCTACCACCTCTTTCCTCAGGTCCAGCCATCAGATTAGTTTTGATAATGAGGTTGCCTTGTGCTGATTTATCCAGCAGATCCACGGTTCAGAGGGTTTATTGTAAGGATAGATGTAAGTGAGAAATAACAGCGGTTGTTCAGCTTGCACATGATCAACAGGCGCATTAATAATACATCCTGCAGCAGAACGGCCTGAGCAATGGGGTTGTGGGAAAAAAACATGTGGCAGGCAGGCAGTGCAGCAGCAGGAAGTGAGAGGCAAGCAGGATAACAGAGCAGGTGAGGCAAGGTGGAAGCGGACTGACCAGCGGTGAGGAGAGTGAATGCGTGGCAGAGGGCGGGCAGGCAGAGCAGCAGCATGAAGAGCAGCGGGCGAGGCCAGCTGAGCAGATGACCAACCTCCCACGGCATGTGCACCCCCGCCTCCCCGCCTGCTGCTCCCCACCCCCACCCCACTCCTCCCGGTGACTCCCTTCCCCTTCCCCCTCCTCCTCCTCCCGCTGCTGCTGCCTCCCATCCTGCTGGGAGCTTTCGACTTCCTAATGCTGCTGCTGCTGCTGCTGATGACGTGAAGGCTTTGGCAGCGCGGGAGGAGAGGAAGAGGAGGAGGTAGAGCAGGGCGTGGAGGAGGAGGGTGCAGGCGAGGAGGAGGGCGGACCAGAAGAGCGTTCCACATGCTATGTTGATGCTGCAGGGGAGGAGGGAGGTGGGATGGAGGGGAACGGGCAGTGTGGAGGAGTGCGACATTAAGGGGTTTGTATGCGTGTTTTACAAATAAGGGTGTGATGTGTCTTCTGTGCGTGCTTTAGAAACAATTGTATGTCACATGGGCAGCATGGCAGCTTAATTCTTGCACGAAAGCACACATATGTGCGCATATGTGCGTGTGGGGGACTGGATATGTGTGCGTGTGTGCACATATGTCTCATAACTTAGGCTTAGAAGCGATGCATTAGTAATGAGCTTGAAGCTCTTTAAGTACATCCAAGAAGGGGAGGGAATGGATGGGGAAGGAAATCGGGGGCAATCCATAGGGATTGGGGGTAATCCCAAGGCAATCTCCAATTGGTGGGTTGGAGATTGCTTGGAGATTACATTTGGGTTTGGTTGGGATGTAGGTGTACACCCAACCAAACACAATGTGCAAACTACACTACTCTAGGATATAGAAAATACTAAGTACAAAGTGTGAGATTGAAGGCTAACACTAACAATATGTGCGTGCGAGTGTGTATCCGTGTGTCTATACCTCCACATGTATGCATGCATGCATGTGTGTGCATGTGCATGTGCTGGAGAACAGGCAGGGAGCCACTCACGCGACCTGAGAGGCGGAGGGGTACTGCATGCGCGCCAGTGCCTCCTGTTGTAGCTGCATGTCGGACTGGCGAGCCAGTGAATGGTGGAGACAGGGCAGGGGAGACGGGGTAGGGGAGACGGGGCAGGGGAGACGGGGTAGGGGAGACGGGGCAGGGGAGACGGGGCAGCGGAGACGGGGCAGCGGAGACGGGGCAGCGGAGACGGGGCAGCGGAGACGGGGCAGCGGAGAGAGGGGGAGACGGGGCAGCGGAGAGAGGGGGAGACGGGGCAGCGGAGAGAGGGGGAGACGGGGCAGCGGAGAGAGGGGGAGACGGGGCAGCGGAGAGAGGGGGAGACGGGGCAGCGGAGAGAGGGGGAGACGGGGCAGCGGAGAGAGGGGGAGACGGGGCAGCGGAGAGAGGGGGAGACGGGGCAGCGGAGAGAGGGGGAGACGGGGCAGCGGAGAGAGGGGGAGACGGGGCAGCGGAGAGAGGGGGAGCGGGGCAGCGGAGAGAGGGGGAGACGGGGCAGCGGAGAGAGGGGGAGACGGGGCAGCGGAGAGAGGGGGAGACGGGGCAGCGGAGAGAGGGGGAGACGGGGCAGCGGAGAGAGGGGGAGACGGGGCAGCGGAGAGAGGGGGAGACGGGGCAGCGGAGAGAGGGGGAGACGGGGCAGCGGAGAGAGGGGGAGACGGGGCAGCGGAGAGAGGGGGAGACGGGGCAGCGGAGAGAGGGGGAGACGGGGCAGCGGAGAGAGGGGGAGACGGGGCAGCGGAGAGAGGGGGAGACGGGGCAGCGGAGAGAGGGGGAGACGGGGCAGCGGAGAGAGGGGGAGACGGGGCAGCGGAGAGAGGGGGAGACGGGGCAGCGGAGAGAGGGGGAGACGGGGCAGCGGAGAGAGGGGGAGACGGGGCAGCGGAGAGAGGGGGAGACGGGGCAGCGGAGAGAGGGGGAGACGGGGCAGCGGAGAGAGGGGGAGACGGGGCAGCGGAGAGAGGGGAGACGGGGCAGCGGAGAGAGGGGGAGACGGGGCAGCGGAGAGAGGGGGAGACGGGGCAGCGGAGAGAGGGGGAGACGGGGCAGCGGAGAGAGGGGGAGACGGGGGCAGCGGAGAGAGGGGGAGACGGGGCAGCGGAGAGAGGGGGAGACGGGGGCAGCGGAGAGAGGGGGAGACGGGGCAGCGGAGAGAGGGGGAGACGGGGCAGCGGAGAGAGGGGGAGACGGGGCAGCGGAGAGAGGGGGAGACGGGGCAGCGGAGAGAGGGGGAGACGGGGCAGCGGAGAGAGGGGGAGACGGGGCAGCGGAGAGAGGGGGAGACGGGGCAGCGGAGAGAGGGGGAGACGGGGCAGCGGAGAGAGGGGGAGACGGGGCAGCGGAGAGAGGGGGAGACGGGGCAGCGGAGAGAGGGGGAGACGGGGCAGCGGAGAGAGGGGGAGACGGGGCAGCGGAGAGAGGGGGAGACGGGGCAGCGGAGAGAGGGGAGACGGGGCAGCGGAGAGAGGGGGAGACGGGGCAGCGGAGAGAGGGGGAGACGGGGCAGCGGAGAGAGGGGGAGACGGGGCAGCGGAGAGAGGGGGAGACGGGGCAGCGGAGAGAGGGGGAGACGGGGCAGCGGAGAGAGGGGGAGACGGGGCAGCGGAGAGAGGGGGAGACGGGGCAGCGGAGAGAGGGGGAGACGGGCAGCGGAGAGAGGGGGAGACGGGGCAGCGGAGAGAGGGGGAGACGGGGCAGCGGAGAGAGGGGGAGACGGGGCAGCGGAGAGAGGGGGAGACGGGGCAGCGGAGAGAGGGGGAGACGGGGGCAGCGGAGAGAGGGGGAGACGGGGCAGCGGAGAGAGGGGGAGACGGGGCAGCGGAGAGAGGGGGAGACGGGGCAGCGGAGAGAGGGGGAGACGGGGCAGCGGAGAGAGGGGGAGACGGGGCAGCGGAGAGAGGGGGAGACGGGGCAGCGGAGAGAGGGGGAGACGGGGCAGCGGAGAGAGGGGGAGACGGGGCAGCGGAGAGAGGGGGAGACGGGGCAGCGGAGAGAGGGGGAGACGGGGCAGCGGAGAGAGGGGGAGACGGGGCAGCGGAGAGAGGGGGAGACGGGGCAGCGGAGAGAGGGGGAGACGGGGCAGCGGAGAGAGGGGGAGACGGGGCAGGGCAGGACAGGGTAAGGCAGGAGAGGGCAGAGCAGAGCGGAGCAGGGAAGGGCAGGAGAATGGACAGCTGAGTATGACTGAACAGAAGCTGTTGAATGGGGACGTTGAGGAAGGGAAGAATGACCGACGACTGTGAACCGAGACATACAGATGGGAACATTCGCGCACCTCGAACACCACCACGCACGCACCTGTGAGCGCCAGGTGGTTCCTGCGGATTCGTCATTTCCCGTCACTGCGGGTGCCTCTGTGTCAGCCGCCTCGGCTGTAGTGGCAGCGGCTGCAGCAGAGGGAGCAGCAGCAGCTGTAGCAGTGGTAGTAGCTGTAGCAGTGGTAGCAGCAATAGGAGCAGCTGCAGCGGCGACTGAAGCAGCAGTAGCAGCAGTGCCAACAGCAGGGCTGTAGCTGCTGCTGGCAGCATTCAAGCTAGCACTGGGGTTAGGGTTAGCACTAGGGTCTACGTAAGGGCTGTTTGGGCTCGACGTTTTCAAGGGGTCAGATGGGGTAGATGGAACAGATGGGTTAGAGGGAATAGGAAGGATAGTAGGGTTAGAGGGGTAAGATGGGTTAGTGGGGTTAGAGGGGTTAGAGGGGTTAGAGGGGTGAGGGGGTTGAGCAGAGAAGACAAGGAGGCGGCGCATGGGCCAGGGCAGCTTCTCCTGCTTCATGGCCCTTGACAGGTCACCCCTGGCGTTGTCTGTGTGGCTGATAGGGGCCGCTGTGCTGCCGGCGCCAGCTGCGCTTGTGCCCCCTTGGCTAGCCTCCTGACTCCCCATGCGGCTCAGGATGGTCTGCCCTTGGAATGTTTGCATGGCAGCGTCGCCATCACTCTCACCACCATCATCACCACCATAGTTGCTGTGCTGCACCCCACCTGCCCTGCTATCCTCCACCTCCGCCCCTCGACTCCCCGTACTCCCTGCCTTCCCAACACCCCTTCTTATCCCTCCCCAAACCCATCTCTGCACGACCTTCCACAGTGCTGCTTTCTCTCCTCCCCCACCAAGCAACACTCCCCCCATCCTCTTCCCCCATGCGCCCACCCTCTCTCGCAACCACTTTCCCCTCGCCCTCGTTGTCCCCCTCCTCCTCCATTGCACGCTGGCCAGACCCTGCACTCTCCTCTCGCCCTTCCCCACTCCCCTCTCGCCTCTCCCCACTCCCCTCTTCCGGCTACCCCACCCTCTCTCTTCCTTCCATTCACCGTCCTTACGTCCGCCCTCTTCACTCTCCACACTCTCCTCATCACTCGACTCACTCCCCCCTTCGCCCTCATCCTCATTCTCCTCCTCACTCCCCACGACAAACTCCTGTCCTCTCTCCCTTCCCTCCTCCTCACTCTTCTTCTCACTCCTCTCTACACTATCCTCAATCCCGCTGTCCTCACTCACCTCCTCACTCTCCTCCTCATTCCTTTCCTCACTCTCTTCAAGCATCACACTCCCACCTCTTCCTCTTGTCACCCCACCTCTCCTCTCTCTCAGGTGCCTCTCCACAGCAGAAGCCCCACTATCCTCCACACCACCCTCTGCATCCCCCATCACCGCATCTGCTGCAGCAGCAACCGGACCAAACTCCTTCGGCCCTGTCAAACGCCCTGCTGCCGCTATAGTATCCGTTGGTGCTGCAGCTCCTGCGGCTGTAGCCTTGGCGGCTGCTCCAGTGATTTCTCCTGCTGCTGTCGCTGCTGCTGTTGCTCTGGTCGTTGCAGCTGCCCTTGCTGCAGCAGCAGCAGTGGCTGTAGCAGCCGCCTTCCCTGCTACAGCCGGAGGCACCACAGCAGGCGCACTGCTTGCTGCTGCTGCTGCTGTTGCTGCTGCTGTTGCTGCTGCTGTTCCTCCCGTGCCTCCCACCACCCCACCCCGTGCTGCCACTGCACCCACTGGCACTCCTGCAGGAGCGGTGACAGCAGGTGAGGGAGTGGGAGCAGGGGGGTCCAAACGGGCGTCAGTTGGGGAGGAAGGGGCGGACTTGTTGCCACCTGCTTCTCCTGCTCCCACCCCTGCTGCTCCCCCCTCGCCCACCTCCCCCCCGTCCTCCCCCTCCTCCCCATACACTGGCGAGTCATGCGCCCAGGGCAGGGGGGCATGCGGCAACACCCACCAGAGCTGCTGCGCAGTTTCCAGGAAGGTGAGAGGCAGGTCGACCCGCAACCACGCAGCGAAGGCAAACACTTGCAGAGATGAGAACATGTGCTGTGTAAGGGGGGGAGGAGAAGAGGAAGGAGGGGAGAGGAGGAGAGTGAGGTGGAGCAGGTGGATGGTGTGGAGGAGGAGGAGGTGGGGTAACATATGGCAAGCGAGAGATGGGTTTTGGGGCCTGACAAATGGTACCCACCACACCACACCACACCACACCACACCACACCACAACGCAACAGTACATTCGACCATGGATTCTAATGATTGAGCGGAAATGTTTGTCTAGATGTGCTGCAATCACCACACACGATGTACTCAGCAGAGGAGGCGGAGGGGGGGAGGAAAGGGAGGGGCAGGGGGAAGGGAGGGGAGGGGAATGGGGAGAGCGGATGCACTCACGAGCAGGTTCCTGGAGGGGGAGAGGGGCAGGCGGCCGTGCATGGGGGGGAGGAGGCCGCGCGTGGTAAGGGCAGAGGAGGAGAGCGAGTAGAGCGCGGAGAGAGCTGCTGCTGTGACCGTGGTGACGCTGATGGTGGTGCCGATGATGCTGGCCGTGGCTGAGGGCGCGTCTGGGTTGGGGGAGAGGGGGAAGGGTGAAAAGTGGTGGGGAGCGGTGGGGAGGCATGGGGAGTGGTATAGAGAGGTAGGGCGGAATGGGGGAGAACGACTGCAGTGGCGACAATATGGTATGGAGGAGGGACGGTCTGGGAGGGGGGAGGGGGTTGAGGGAGAAGGAAATGGAAGGGAGAAAGACAAGAGAAAAACGAGGAAAAAAGGCGCATGGAAAGAGAGGCGGAACCGTGTGAAAATCCTAAGCATGCTCTTAAGATGGATGGAACAAATACATAGGACCAAAACGGAGACGGCAAAAAAGGAGACGAAAGAAGAGAAGATGGAGGAGAAGAGAACGGTGGAGGGGCGTACAGGTGACGTGGATGGTGTTGGAGGCGAGCGAGGTGGTGCCCCAGGGGGGTGAAAGATGGATGACACAACAACATGGAGCCGAGGTTGAGGAGAAGGAGATGGAAAGAAGAGAAGATGGAGGATAAAATAGCGGGAGAGCATACAGGTGGTGGCGGCAGCAGGAAGGAAGCAGGGAGACGGAGAGCGATGCGATGACATGCAGAGGGGGGGCTTACAGGTTATCCAATGGAGCCCCAGGGGGCTTACAGGTTATCCAATGGAGCCCCAGGGGGCTTACAGGTTATCCAATGGAGCCCCAGGGGGCTTACAGGTTATCCAATGGAGCCCCAGGGGGCTTACAGGTTATCCAATGGAGCCCCAGGGGGCTTACAGGTTATCCAATGGAGCCCCAGGGGGCTTACAGGTTATCCAATGGAGCCCCAGGGGGCTTACAGGTTATCCAATGGAGCCCCAGGGGGCTTACAGGTTATCCAATGGAGCCCCAGGGGGCTTACAGGTTATCCAATGGAGCCCCAGGGGGCTTACAGGTTATCCAATGGAGCCCCAGGGGGCTTACAGGTTATCCAATGGAGCCCCAGGGGGCTTACAGGTTATCCAATGGAGCCCCAGGGGGCTTACAGGTTATCCAATGGAGCCCCAGGGGGCTTACAGGTTATCCAATGGAGCCCCAGGGGGCTTACAGGTTATCCAATGGAGCCCCAGGGGGCTTACAGGTTATCCAATGGAGCCCCAGGGGGCTTACAGGTTATCCAATGGAGCCCCAGGGGGCTTACAGGTTATCCAATGGAGCCCCAGGGGGCTTACAGGTTATCCAATGGAGCCCCAGGGGGCTTACAGGTTATCCAATGGAGCCCCAGGGGGCTTACAGGTTATCCAATGGAGCCCCAGGGGGCTTACAGGTTATCCAATGGAGCCCCAGGGGGCTTACAGGTTATCCAATGGAGCCCCAGGGGGCTTACAGGTTATCCAATGGAGCCCCACTTAGGGGGTGTGTCTTTGCGAGGTGGTGCCCCAGGGGGCTTACAGTAGAGGGCTTACAGTAGGGGGCTTACAGTAGGGGGCTTACAGTAGGGGGCTTACAGTTTACTTGGATGGTGTTGGAGGCGAGCGACGTGGTGCCCCAGGGGGTGGTGGCGGCGCCGGGAAGCAGGGAGATGGAGAGGGCGGCAGGGGGAGGTGCTGACTGGGGCAGGGTGATGCGAGCTAGGAAGGCCGCTGGGCTGACCCGCTCCACCCTGTTGGGATTGCAACAGGGGGGGGAAGGAGAGTGCGGGGGATGGGGGAAAAGGGGACGGGGATTAGAGAGAGGGCAATGAGTGCTGCTGCACTGATGTGCTCTCACAATTCTTTGTGCATCGCACAAACTTACATCCCTCATGCCGTCCCTCATGCTGTCCCCCATGCCATGCCATCCCTCATGTCATCCACGTCAACCCCTCTAGCTTCTTCCTCCATCCCATCTCGCACAGAACCGTCTCTACACACCCCTCTCCACCTTGCTCCACCGCACTCACCATGGTGCATATGCCCCACCACCATTACACACACCACAAACACAGCCACCTCACTGCAGTCTAAACTCAACATATCTCACCCCATCGTTTGCATGCTATACAAAGTTTTGAGTACGAACCCATTTGTTACTCGTCACCCCATATCTCACACCCCATTCCTAACTGCTCCCAACCCAACCCGACTCACTGTTTCGGGCAGGAACCATGGTTACCACCATCACCATGCCATTCACCAAAATTGCCCCCTTTTCTGAATGCTCAAGTGCCATTCGATTCAACATGGCCAATACTCAACCACTGCATCCTTCTTTCCCTCTGCTCCCCCATTTCTCCCGCCAACAATCATCTCTCGACGCCCCCACTCACCACTCCACGCGGGCACCGTCTGTCCCATTCACCGCGATCGTGCCCTGCCGAATGCTCAACACCCCAGCCAATGCTTCTTTCTTCCCATTTCCTCCCACCAATCCTCCACACCCCGACTCACCACTCCACGCGGGCACCGTCTGTCCCATTCACCGCGATTGTGCCCTGCCGTATGCTCCATGTGTCATCTGACTCCACATTCGGATACCCACTCCTGCTTCCTCCCGAGAACACTCTCCCCCCCAACTCACACCACCATGCCCCCACTCACCACTCCACGCGGGCACCGTCTGTCCCATTCACCACGATCGTGCCCTGCCGTATGCTAGACACCGGCGCCGACGCGTTGATCAGAAACGTCAGCTCCCTCTGCGCCACCTTATACGATGCTGCCGGTGCCGCTGCTCCTGCTGCCCCTGCTGCTTCTGATGCTACTGCTCCTGCTCCTCCTACTGCTGCTCCCCCTGCTGCTGAGTTCGATCCATTACTGGGCGACGCTGTGGGCAGCACTGGCGCCAGCGAGGGTGGCGAGGGCAGCGAGGAGGAGTCAGCAGGGGTAGTGCTGTCTGGTACGGTGCTGCCCGGGGGCCAGAGGATGGGCCCTGAGCCCACCCCACTGCGGTAGGTGTCGGGGTGCTGCAGGAGTGACACGTGCATGCTGGCTGGGTGGGTGCCTGTGGGGGGAGGGATGGAGTCAGAAGGAGGGAAGTGAGGAGGAGTCAGCAGGGGCAGTGCTGTCCGGCACGGTGCTGCCCGGGGGCCACATGATGGGCCCTGAGCCCACCCCACTGCAGTAGGTGTCGGGGTGCTGCAGGAGTGACACGTGCATGCTGGCTGGGTGGGTGCCTGTGGGGGGAGGGATGGAGTCAGAGGGAGGGAAGTGAGGAGGAGTCAGCAGGGGCAGTGCTGTCCGGCACGGTGCTGCCCGGGGGCCACATGATGGGCCCTGAGCCCACCCCACTGCGGTAGGTGTCGGGGTGCTGCAGGAGTGACACGTGCATGCTGGCTGGGTGGGTGCCTGTGGGGGGAGGGATGGAGTCAGAAGGAGGGAAGTGAGGAGGAGTCAGCAGGGGCAGTGCTGTCCGGCACGGTGCTGCCCGGGGGCCACATGATGGGCCCTGAGCCCACCCCACTGCGGTAGGTGTCGGGGTGCTGCAGGAGTGACACGTGCATGCTGGCTGGGTGGGTGCCTGAGGGGGGAGGGATGGAGTCAGAAGGAGGGAAGTGAGGAGTCAGCAGGGGCAGTGCTGTCCGGCACGGTGCTGCCCGGGGGCCACATGATGGGTCCCGAGCCCACCCCACTGCGGTAGGTGTCGGGGTGCTGCAGGAGTGACAGGTGCATGCTGGCGGGGTGAGTGCCTGGCAGGTCAACAGGGGAGAGAGGTATGGGGTGAGGTAGGAACGGATGAGATGCAGAGGGCAGCACTGAAGCCAGCGAGGGTGGCGAGGGCAGCGAGGAGGAGTCAGCAGGGGCGGTGTTGTCCGGTGCAGTGCTGCCACATGATGGGTCCCGAGCCCAGTCCGCTGCGGTAGGTGCCAGGGTGCTGCAGGAGTGAGAGGTGCATGCTGGCTGGCTGGGTGGGTGCCTGGCCTGGCAGGTGTTTGGGTCGGGGGGGATGGTGGGGTGGGTTGGGAAGAGGCGTGGGGGCTTAGAAGGAGTCAAGGAAAATAGGAAGTGGGTGTGGTGGTCATGCAGTAGAGACAGGTGCATGCTGGCCGGGTGGGTGCCTGGTTTATTATCAGTAGGGATGGGGTGGGTTGGGAGAGGGGATGAGGTGGATTGGAGAGGGACGGGGTGGGATGGGAAGGGATGGGGTGGGTTGGGGAGGAAATGAGGCGAAGGGAGGAGATGGGCTGAAGGGAGGAGGTGAGGTGCAAGGAGGGCAAGGTTAGCGATGATGGCAGAACGCACCGAAGATGATGGCGGCGGAGTTGGACTGCTGGTTGAGGTTGCCGTGCACACTCACGAGGCGTTGGGATTTGAATAATAACGTAACAATGATACTCAGCCATTCTGAGGGCTGCAGGCACGCACCGAAGATGATGGCCGCGGTGTTGGACTGCTGGTTGAGGTTGCCGTGCACACTCACGAGCGTGTTGGGCTTCACTGTCACTGTGATGATGCCCGGGTTCACAAATGGCACCACCTGGCGGTCAGAGGAGGGTAGGGAGGGATGGCAGAAGGAAGCAGGATGGCAGGAGGAAGAGGGATGGCAGGAGGAAGAGGGATGGCAGGAGGAAGAGGGATGGCAGGAGGAAGAGGGATGGCAGGAGGAAGAGGGATGGCAGGAGGAAGAGGGATGGCAGGAGGAAGAGGGATGGCAGGGAGAATGGATGACTTGGCATCAACATCACGGTCCAAACAAGGGCCGTCCTTCTCACTCAGAACAGCATTCATGCAGAACTTGACTTGAAGTGCTGCCGTAACAGCCTGGCAAGCACTACTGGGCATCTTCCAGTGACATTGTGGGTGGCATGGCATGACATGGCATGGCATGGAAGCTTCCCTGGCAGCAGCATTCATGCAGAACTTGGCTTGAAGTGCTGCCCTGCCAGCCTGGCGAGCACCACTGGGTAACCTCCACTGACACGGAGTGGCATGTCACGGTGTGTGGTATGACATGGCATGTCACGGTGTGTGGCATGGCGTGGCATGTCACGGTGTGTGGTATGACATGGCATGTCAAGGTGTGTGGTATGACATGGCATGTCAAGGTGTGTGGTATGACATGGCATGTCACGGTGTGTGGTATGACATGGCATGTCAAGGTGTGTGGTATGACATGGCATGTCAAGGTGTGTGGTATGACATGGCATGTCACGGTGTGTGGTATGACATGGCATGTCAAGGTGTGTGGTATGACATGGCATGTCAAGGTGTGTGGTATGACATGGCATGTCAAGGTGTGTGGTATGACATGGCATGTCAAGGTGTGTGGTATGACTATGACATGGCATGTCAAGGTGTGTGGTATGACATGGCATGTCAAGGTGTGTGGTATGACATGGCATGTCACGGTGTGTGGTATGACATGGCATGTCAAGGTGTGTGGTATGACATGGCATGTCAAGGTGTGTGGTATGACATGGCATGTCAAGGTGTGTGGTATGACTATGACATGGCATGTCAAGGTGTGTGGTATGACATGGCATGTCACGGTGTGTGGTATGACATGGCATGTCAAGGTGTGTGGTATGACATGGCATGTCACGGTGTGTGGTATGACATGGCATGTCAAGGTGTGTGGTATGACATGGCATGTCAAGGTGTGTGGTATGATATGGCATGTCAAGGTGTGTGGTATGACATGGCATGTCACGGTGTGTGGTATGACATGGCATGTCAAGGTGTGTGGTATGACATGGCATGTCAAGGTGTGTGGTATGACATGGCATGTCAAGGTGTGTGTATGACACTCACGCGGAACTTGAACAGCCGGCCTGAAAGCCGGGCGAGCACCACCGGGTAGCCGCCAGTGACGTTGAGCGAGTTGAGCAGCCGCTGCTTCAGCGACGACGCAGAGCTTGTCGCATCCGTGCCATCTTCTGCTGCGTCACCTGCTGCACCGCCTGCGCTCCTCGCCTTCCCAGAGCTTAGTGCCGCTCTTGACACCCCTGCTGCGGCAGGCCCTGTTCTCCCCCCCACTCCTCCCGCACCTCCTCCTGCGGTCTCCTCGAAATTCAACGGAGCATCCGATTCCGCTTCACTCTCCTCATCACCCTCATCACCCCCAGCAGCAGTCTCAGAGATATTCGCCACAGTGGGGGTGAGCGGGGCGACGGAGGGGATGCGAGTGGAGAGGACGAGGTAGAAGACGAGGTCGAGGGGGCGGTGGGAGGAGAAGAGCTGGTGGCACGACGGCATGGGGACCAGGACTGTGCTGTTTGCTAGAGCTTCCACTGACCCCACCACCACTGCACGCGCACTACTGCTGCTGGTGCCGGTGCTGCTGATACTGCTGCTGGCGCTGCTGCTGCTGCCGCCACCGTTCCTGCCTGGAACGTTCCCCCATCCACTGCCGCTGCCACCCATGCTGCCCATAGGAATCCCACCACCGACTGCACTCAACTTTATGCTGCCAGTGCTGATCCCACTGGTGAGACCCATGGTACTTGCATCACTGCTGCTGCTGCCAGGGGCGCTGCTGCTGCCAGGGGCGCTGCTGCCACTGCCGCTCCCCAGATCAACAACCACAGGCGAGCAGCCTCTGCCGTCGGCTAAACCGCCCCCACCGTTGCTGCCGCTGCTGCTGCCACTGCTGCTGCTATTGCCAGTGGCAGCAATTCTGGCGGCAGCACCCTGCACCCAGGAAGCGAGCTGGTCTCCATAGGTGTCGGTGAGAGATGTGAGGCTGACCGGCTGCATGGCGGCTGCCAGCAGCGCCACTGTGAAATTGCTCAGATCTGGAGAGGAGGGTGGGGGGACGAGAGGAGGGGAAAGTGGGAGCGAGTCGTGGGTCGTGGGGAGGGGGGCGAGTGGAGCAGGAAAAGGGGGTGTGAGAGTGATGATGAAGTGTGCTTTCATGGGGAGGGGTGACAAGGTGACGTGCGGACAGAGGCATAGCAGCGAGCAGAGAGGCGACGCGTCACCATATCATATCACACGCGCACTCTGTCTCAGAACTGCAGGCTTACCATATCGGATGCGAATGACGGTGTTGTTGCCCTGCTTCACTGCACACGCGTGTGGTTACCACACATGTTCTCATGCATGCGCACAGCTTTTGAGACGTCTCAGAACTGCAGGCTTACCATAGCGGATGCGGATGACGGTGTTGTTGCCCTGCTGCACGAACGTGCGGTTACCACACGCGTCCTCCCGCACGCGCACCACCACCCGCCCCGTGAGCTCCGTGGGCAGCACGTCCACTGTGTACTCTCGCCCCCACCGCACCTGCCGCCACGATGCATGGTCAATAACCCCGCTCTCGCGCACTCTCAGCTGGTGGCACAGTCGAACAAGGGGGTGAAGAGGGAGGGAGGGCGAGCGGGAGGAGGGTGAGCAGCGGAGAAGGGTGAGCGCCGTGGGGGGAGCACGTCCACCGTGTACTCTCGGCCCCACCGCACCTGCTGCCAGGAGGCGTAGTCAATGGCTCCACTCTCACGCACTCTCAGCTGGTCGCACAGTCGAACAGGGCGGAGGAGAGGGAGGGAGAGAGGCAGGAGGGTGAGCAGCAGGGAGGGAGAGTGAGCGCCATGGGAAAAGTGTCCACTGTGTACTCTCGCCCCCACCGCACCTGCCTCCACGACGCATAGTCTATAATGCCGCTCTCCTGCACTCTCAGCTGGTGGCACAGTCGAACAGGGAGAGGGAGGGGGAGTGAGGCAGGAGGGTAAGCAACGTCCACTGTGTACTCTCGCCCCCTCTGCACCTGCCGCCACGATGCATAGTCAATGACTCCAATCTCACGCACTCTCAGCTGGTGGCACAGTCGAACAGGGAGGTACAGAGGGAGAGGGAGAGAGGCATGAGGGAGCGGTGAGGGAAGTGGAGGGAGGGGGGGTGTGGGGCTTCGTGGGAGAGGGTGGGGGACGGGTGGCGGAGGGATGGAGGGGTGAGAGGAATTGAAACCGCCATAAGGAGGCACAGGCACAGGGAGGGGCATAGGGGAGTTAAGAGGGCCACACTGTAACGGGAGGGACGGCGGGTGACGGGGGATGATGGAGGAAGCGAAAAAAACTCGTGTAAAAAAAGATGTGTCTTCTGCTACGTGAATGAATACATGTAAAGGAAGGCAATTGCTGTCTGTGCGAAAACGTGCTGGGGACGGAGGGTCATGTGCTTATGACAGGGAGCCCATATACGTTCTGTGAACGCTCGGATGAAAGAAGAGGTCACATTCCCACAGTGACAGTGAGTGTGGGTGCGTGTGACTATACCGAGCAGTGGTGGGTGTTGGTGCGGGGCCATACCGAGCAGAAGTGTGCGTTGCAGCGGAAGGCAGGGCAGGGGCGGTTGAAGAGGATGGTGACGTGGGAGCGGTTGCTCTGCTGGGTGATCCTCGTGTAGGTCATGCTGGGCTGCATGGGCACTGCTGCCACTGCACGTAGGGGAGAGGGCGGGGGAAGGTAAGGGGAGGGGAGGAGTTGCGAGGGGCGTGGCAGGGTGAAGGTCATGGTGAGAGCGGTTGCTCTGCTGAGTGATCCTCGTGTAGGTCATGCTGGGACTCATGGGCACTGCTGCCACTGCACGCATGGTGGGGAAAGGGGGGAAAATGCGGGGGGGGGGAGAAGGGAGGGGGGTGAGTGGGAGGGAGACGAGAGGGAGGTGAGGTGTGAGGGACAAGACGGGTGAAGGTCATGCTGGGCTTCACGGGCGCTGCTGCCACTGTGCGCATTGGGGGGGGGAGGAGGGGGGGAAAAGGGGAGGGGGAGGAGGGAGGCGGGGAAGAGGTGTGAGGAACAAGGCAGGGTGAAGGTCATGCTGGGTCTGAGGGTGGGGGGAGAGGGGGGTGCGGAGGGGAGGAGGGCGGAAGGGAAGGGCGGGTGTGTGAGGTGCGAGGGGCGTGGCAGGGTTGAACGCAACGAGCTCGTTGGGGCACTGCAACGAGCCACTGCACGCACGGATGAAAGGAAGGGGGGGAGGAGGGAAGAGCGGGAGGAAGAGGGAAGGAAAGGGGAGGGACGTGAGGTGAGGTGTGAGGGACAAGGCAGGGTGAAGGCCATGCTGGGGCTCATGGGCGCTGCTGCGCGCATGAAGGGGGAGGGGGGAGGCGGAGAGGGGGTGTAGAGGGGGTAGAGAGTAGGAGGAGGGGGGGAGGAGGAGGGGGTGTGAGAGGGGGAGAGAGAAAGGGGAGAGGGGAGAGAGAGAGAGTGAAAGCTGGGGGAGATAGGAGAGGGAGAGGGTGTGAAGAGGTGCGGGAAAGACGGGGGAGAAGGGGGAGCGGGCTGAAGGTTATGCTGGGCCTCATGTGCGCTTCTGGGAGAGAGTGCGCCTTATGGCCGCTGCTGCTGGGGGCGAGGCAGTACGGGGGGCAGCGCGAGGTGCGATGGGGGGAGGAGAGAGGCGTGGAAGAGGGAAGAAGAAGGGAGAGGGACGGGCCCACATGGGGTGGCGGTGGGAGGGAGACACATGGGTGGGTGGCGGAGGACTGTGGGCGGGGCAAGGGGAAATACAGGTGAGGGTGTCAAAACGAAACAGCTTGCGCATGTGCGTGCGGCCACAGGGCTGGCCCGGAGGGCGGGCAGGGCGGGGAAAGGGGGGCGTCAGGGAGGGCGGGGACGGCGGGGAGGGCGGGGAGGGTGGAAGGGGGTGGAGAAAGAGAAATCGCACGAGGATGGGGGAAAGAGAGGTGGATAGCACACATGGGAGGGAGAAGGGGAGGGAGAAGGGGAGGGAGAAGGGGAGGGAGAAGGGGAGGGAGAAGAGAAAGCTGGGAAGCACACAATGCGTGGCGGCCTTTCCTGCCCCACCATTCCGCCCGACCCAGGCTGTTTCCCTCACCCTTCCGCGAATTGCGTAATCCCACGCCCTGCCACTCGTCCCTGCCACTCGTCCCTGCCACTCGTCCCTGCCACTCGTCCCTGCCACTCGTCCCTGCCACTCGTCCCTGCCACTCGTCCCTGCCACTCGTCCCTGCCACTCGCCCCTGCCACTCGTCCCTGCCACTCGTCCCTGCCACTCGTCCCTGCCACTCGCCCCTGCCACTCGTCCCTGCCACTCGTCCCTGCCACTCGTCCCTGCCACTCGCCCCTGCCACTCGTCCCTGCCACTCGTCCCTGCCACTCGTCCCTGCCACTCGCCCCTGCCACTCGTCCCTGCCACTCGTCCCTGCCACTCGTCCCTGCCACTCGCCCCTGCCACTCGTCCCTGCCACTCGTCCCTGCCACTCGTCCCTGCCACTCGCCCCTGCCACTCGTCCCTGCCACTCGTCCCTGCCACTCGCCCCTGCCACTCGTCCCTGCCACTCGTCCCTGCCACTCGTCCCTGCCACTCGTCCCTGCCACTCGTCCCTGCCACTCGCCCCTGCCACTCGTCCCCTGCCACTCGTCCCTGCCACTCGTCCCTGCCACTCGCCCCTGCCACTCGTCCCTGCCACTCGTCCCTGCCACTCGTCCCTGCCACTCGCCCCTGCCACTCGTCCCTGCCACTCGTCCCTGCCACTCGTCCCTGCCACTCGTCCCTGCCACTCGTCCCTGCCACTCGTCCCTGCCACTCGTCCCTGCCACTCGTCCCTGCCACTCGTCCCTGCCACTCGCCCCTGCCACTCGTCCCTGCCACTCGTCCCTGCCACTCGTCCCTGCCACTCGCCCCTGCCACTCGTCCCTGCCACTCGTCCCTGCCACTCGTCCCTGCCACTCGCCCCTGCCACTCGTCCCCTGCCACTCGTCCCTGCCACTCGTCCCTGCCACTCGTCCCTGCCACTCGTCCCTGCCACTCGTCCCTGCCACTCGTCCCTGCCACTCGTCCCTGCCACTCGTCCCTGCCACTCGTCCCTGCCACTCGTCCCTGCCACTCGTCCCTGCCACTCGCCCCTGCCACTCGTCCCTGCCACTCGTCCCTGCCACTCGTCCCTGCCACTCGCCCCTGCCACTCGTCCCTGCCACTCGTCCCTGCCACTCGCCCCTGCCACTCGTCCCTGCCACTCGTCCCTGCCACTCCTTGGGTGCTCCCCCTGCGTGCCCCTGCTTATCTCACCACATGCGACCCGCTTAGCCCTGTCTGCTCCTGTGCGAGCCCACCATCCTACCTCAATTGACCATGGCCCATCCCAGCACCCCTAACGTCACTCACCTTTAAAATCACCCTACTGGCTCCTGCTTCTCTCCCTCTCCCCCTTCCCTCCCACAACCTCCCACACGATGAACTGCGAGACGACATCTGCGCGCCTGCCCGCACCTGACTTTCGAACTTGCACCACTTCATGCGCCGCCATTCTCATCTCCTGCACTTCAATGTCCTACCTGCCTTCTCGCCTGACAATAAAGGCCCCACCGGTTTTACCCCCTCCCGTTTTCCGCCTCGCCTCTATATGTCCCTCCTGCCCCACAACGGGTACGAGCTTACCGCCAAATCCCTCTCCTCCACCACCCATCTTTGTGTCGCCACCTATCGCCACCTATCGCCACCTGTTGCCAACTATCGCCACCTATCGCCACCTGTTGCCAACTATCACCACCTGTCGCCACCTGTCCGTAGCACCCTTGCCTCATCCTGCTTCCGCTTCCTCATAGCCCCCACACTGCCGCACGCCCCTCATATCTCTCCCGCCCCTCTCAGCAGCGCCCCACCTCATCGCCCTTCCTCTTTCCCCTCTGTCAATGCCTCGCCGGTCTTGACTTCTCCCACCTCCTTGCTTTCCATGCCACACCGTGCCTGCCGCACCCTGCCTCGCCTCGCATGCCCTCTCCAGTGTCCCCTCGTTACCAGCACAGCACCCTACAGCAGCGACCACATCCATCGCCCTCGGATCGGAGCCCCTACCAACAGCAAGCCCACACCACTGCATCCGCTCCCCTGCTGCTCTTGTTGTCCAGCGGTCGCAAGCCTGCTGCTCTCGTCGTCTAGCGGCCGCAAAGCCTGCGGCGCCTTCATCTGTTCGCTGTCCTTCCTAAGCCATCTTCCCGTCTATTCTAATGCCGTCTTCCGTCTACACTAATGCCGTTGTTCCGCCTAACCTAATCCCGTCCTTTCAGCATCTATCGCCCTAACTCCCCCCCTCTCTGATCCCCCGAGCCCCCTCATCCGCCCCTCACCTGATCCCGCCTCCACTCCGCCCGGCGCGCCCACCACGAAGTCCAGAATGCCCCACCCGCTCGCCTGCCCGCTTTTCTCCTGCGCCACCACGTCGAACCGGTGGTAACCGTCCTGCACGTCCGTCAGCCGCACTCGCCACGTGTCGCACGGAATCATCCATTGGTCCAGCTGGCCGGCGGGAAAAACGGGTTTGCAAAAAAAGAAGGCATTCAGCCCAGAGGAAAGAAACTGTTGACTCGAGAATTAAAACACGAGGAGGAAAAACACAACCGGCACTTTTTGCAATACGCACACTGCGTGACAAAGACACACTTAAAGCCCGAACCTGCAATCTCAAAAAGGAATGAAAGAGATCTTCAATTGGAAAAAGCCAGCACTGCTGGCAGAGAGAGACATTACGTGAGGGAGTCATGTCTCCGCACATCTCGTCACTTTCACTCTGACCGCTTACCGCGCACGACACGAGGCAGTCGCGGCACGTCTCGTTGCCGACGATCTTGCGCACGTCGAAGTAAATCCGCACCACCTGCTTCCCCTTCTTCGACTTCCCCTGCGCGCCCGAGGGAAAGAGAACCTTCAACCTGAGCGCTGCCAGTACGTTGTCGCTGCCCGTCGCCGCAGCCCCACTCGTCGTTGATCGCCTATTCCGCTTCAGCAACATTTTGTCGTCGGGCAGCGGGGTCGGATTGCTGCCCGGAGAAATGTTTCCCACCCAAACCACGTCTTCAGGCCCGGATTCGTCCAGCCCGTTATCCTCGCTATAGTAGTCCTCGTCATAGTCCGGATCCGATTTGGCTACAGGCGACGGCGCTACAGAAGGGGAAACGGGGCGTGCAGGAGTGTGACTAGTACCGGGAGGCGGCGTTAGGGTTTGAACGGCCAGCGCGCGCCTGTCTGTGAAGCTGCTAGCTGCCTTAGCCGCCTCCCGCGTCGACTGTAAGGACGGCGTTCGGGTTTGAACGGGCGGCGCACGCGTGTTTGAGAAGCTATCTGGCGCGTCTACTGCATCACGAGTAGCTGTAGATAGCTCGTAAACGGACGGCCTGGATGCGATCACGAGATGGCAGCGTAAGAACAGAGCCAGCACTAAGACCAAGCATGCTGCTGACGATTGTAACTGTGTAACGGTCGCGTGGTTTCGCCGTCGATTCGTCGCCTGGTTTCGTCTAGTCGTCGCCTGAGTCTGCCTATTTCTTACTTTTCGAGGCGCGAGCCGACGGCGCTGTGTTGAAAGGGAAATCTCAGGCTGTGCTTTCGATCGCTGTGACGGCTCTATTGTATCATGGAGGTCTACTAGAACGGGTTGTATGAAGGTGGAAAAGGTGGGGTTTCCTCGGTGCGTGAATCTCTCCGTGTAGAACGAGGCCGGCTTCGAGCTGCACGGCCGAAACGCCATTTTGTACTAGTTAGTAACCACTAACCAGCAGCTTGCCACAGCGACTATTTCTCTCATTGGTTCTTAACGCGGTCTCCGTAAGGGGTTCGAGTGATAAATGTTGGAGATGTATTGACATTACAAAAGCAAAGGGCATGGCGTGAGATCGACAGCTGAAAGATTTGCGATATGCGCAGTCGCAGAAGGGCGGGAAGATAAGCTATAAGTTGACCCTAGCTAGACCAGAGCTACCTCCACTCCACTCTGATCAGCTCGACAGGACTCCCGCCTACCATAACTCGGTAGTGGCAGCACTGCCAGCCAGAAGTGAAACCCTGGAGGGTGGATTCAAATCTTACAGTTGCAGTTTTCCCGCCAAATGCTGCACCCCCAACCAATAGAGATTACGAGTCAGGAGCCGCGTTTCTGGAGGTGATTTTCTGACCACATCTGACCGCTCTGGGAGTGACGAGAAACGCCGACATGCTATCTAATACCCACACTGACTTCATTTTGTGGAAAAAGGGGGGAGGCGAGGAAGGAGAAAGAATTGGGGGGGGGGGGGATGAGCAGCAGTTTGGATGGTTTAGAGGGGTTGATTGGGTGATGGGGACGAATATGAGGTTTTCCTTCGGTCTGTTCATAGTGCAGCCTATCGTGTCAAGCACACCGTGCAGGGTTTCAGCTCGGACTTCTGCGCAGGCATGTGCAGTGGTTGTTCGGATCAAGGAATTCGTAAGTTCCAAACCGCACTGCATCGTCGAAAAGTTAGTGTTTCGTGGGTAATGGATGCTTCGTGCAGTATCCTAACCTCTCTCCCAAACTTGCCAAGGCTCGCCTTGGGAGGGAGGGGCGAATCTCGGTGCTTTTCCTTCCGAACGTGCTGGTTTGGCACGTCCCCTCGGTACAGTGCCACCCTCTTGCCTGCCCCATTCCATCCCGTGACCCGTCGTGGGTGATCAGTTTTTGTTCCAACAAACCCCAAAACCGCGGCACCAGAAACCCCGTTTCTTTGCTCGTTTTCCTGCCTTCCTCCCTATTGTTTCTGCTTGCATTATCGATTAGCCGGCTATTTGCGGCTATTTGCTTCCTAAGCGTAGGAAGCAGGTCTCTAATGGCGCGGGTTAAAGTGACTGCTGAGAAGAAGGGCAAGAAGAGAAAGGAGGCGACGGCCAATGGGGTGGAGAAGACCAAGAAGGCTAAAACAGATGCGAATAAAGAAAGGGATGCTAATAAGGAGAGTTTATCTCTCTTGGCTGTCCCGCGCCAAGTGCAGCTGAAGGTGAAGAAGGGCAGGGTTGTGGAGGAGGCGAAGATTGCTGCGAAGAAAGCGAACGAAAAGGAGGTCAAGGCGAAGAAGGAGAAGAAGGGAAAGAAGGGGACGGAGACCGCGGAGATTGTAGAGAAGAAAGAAAAGAAGGAGACGAAAGAAGTTAAGAAGGGGAAAAAGGGTGAGGAGACGACGGAAGTAACAAAAAGGACAGAAAAAAGAGAGACGACGAAAGAGATGAAGGGTAGCAAGAGGGAGAAGCGGGAGTTGAAGGAGGCAAAGCAAGTGGTAGTGAAAAAGAAGATTAAAGACGTGAAAGCGGAGAAGAAGGGAGCGACGGAGGGGGAGAAGGGGAAGAAGAAGGAGAAGGGGAAAGAGGGAGAGAAGACCGGCAAGAAGGGGAAGAAGGGCAAAGAGGAGGTGAAGGAGGAAATTAGTGATGAGGAGATGGAGGAGGCGAGTGAGGAAAAGAGTGAGGAGGAAAGTCAGGAGGAGAGTGAGGAGGAGGAGGAGGAGGAGGAGGAGGAGGAGGAGGAGGAGGAGGAGGAGGAGGAGGAGGAGGAGGAGGAGGAGGAGGAGGAGGAAGAGAGTGAAGAGAAGGAAGAGGAGGAGAAGAAAGTTGTTAAGGAGGTTGCAGCGAAGGAGAGCAGTGAGGAGGAGGAGAGTAGCGATGAGGAGGAAGAGGAGGACGAGGAGAGTGAGGAGGAGGAAGAGGAAGAGAAGAAATTAGTGAAAAGGGAGGAGAGCAGTGAGGAGGAGGAGAGTAGTGAGGAGGAGGAGAGTGAGGAGGAGAAGGAGAGTGAGGAGGAGAAGGAGAGTGAGGAGGAGAAGGAGAGTGAGGAGGAAGAGAGTGAGGAGGAGGAAGAGGAAGAGAAGAAAGTTGTAAAGGAGGTAGCAGCGAAGGAGAGCAGTGAGGAGGAGGAGAGTAGCGATGAGGAGGAAGAGGAGGAGGAGGAGAGTGAGGAGGAAGAAGAGGAAGAGAAGAAAGTAGTGAAAAAGGAGGAGAGCAGTGAGGAGGAGGAGGAGAGTAGTGAGGAGGAGGAGAGTGAGAAGGAGGAAGAGAGTGAGGAGGAGGAAGAGGAAGAGAAGAAAGTAGTGAAAAAGGAGGAGAGTAGTGAGGAGGAGGAGAGTGAGAAGGAGGAAGGGAGTGAGGAGGAGGAAGAGGAAGAGAAGAAATTAGTGAAAAAGGAGGAGAGCAGTGAGGAGGAGGAGGAGGAGAGTAGTGAGGAGGAGGAGGAGAGTAATGAGGAGGAGAGTGAGAAGGAGGAAGAGAGTGAGGAGGAGGAAGAGGAAGAGAAGAAAGTTATAAAAGAGGTAGCAGCGAAGGAGAGCAGTGAGGAGGAGGAGAGTAGTGATGAGGAGGAAGAGGAAGAGAAGAAATTAGTGAAAAAGGAGGAGAGCAGTGAGGAGGAGGAGAGTAGTGATAAGGAGGAGGTGGAGGAGGAGGAGGAGAGTGAGGAGGAAGAGAGTGAGGAGGAGGAAGAAGAGAAGAAAGTAGTGAAAAAAGAGGAGAGCAGTGAGGAGGAGGAGAGTAGTGATAAGGAGGAGGTGGAGGAGGTGGAGGAGGAGGAGGAGAGTGAGGAGGAAGAGAGTGAGGAGGAGGAAGAAGAGAAGAAAGTAGTGAAAAAAGAGGAGAGCAGTGAGGAGGAGGAGAGCAGTGATGAGGAGGAAGAGGAGGAGGAGGAGGAGGAGGAGGAGGAGGAGGAGGAGGAGGAGGAGGAGGAGGAGGAGGAGGAGGAGGAGGAGGAGGAGGAGGAGGAGGAGGAGAGCGAGGAGGAGGAAGAGGAAGAGGAAGAGGAAGAGACGAAAGTAGCGAAAAAGGAAGAGGAGAGTAGTGATGAGGAGCAGGAGAGCAAGGAGGAAAAGAAAGTCGTGAAAGAAGAGGAAAGCAGTGAGGAAGAGAGTAGTGGAGATGACGAGAGTGAGGAGGAGGAGGAAGAAGAAAACGCAAAGAAGTTAAATGTGAAGGAGACCGAGAAGAAGAAGGGGGGACAGCAGCAGCAGAAGGAGCAGCAGAAACAGCAGGAGGAGCAGCAGAAGGAGCAGCAGAAACAGCAGGAGGAGCAGCGGCAGCAGATTGTATGGCAGGCGACGCCTGGCAAGGTACTGGGTGGGCGGCAGTGCTTGGAATATCTCGTGTAGTTGGCTTTTATGAGGGTCACATGTGCAGTGGTGGATGTAGCAAGCGTGCGTTCTGAGAGCTCTCCTGCTTGATGGCGTCTCATACTTTAGCAAGCAGCAAGCAGGGCAGCGCTGCAGGAACCGCACTCCATGCCCCGGATTGTGGGCTCCACCCCATTCCCCACCCATGCTCTATTCCCATGCCGCTCCCACTCCCCCCTCTACACCCCCTGCCCAGCTCGCAGGCAGCAAGAGGGCCTTTGACGCCATCTCCCCGGGATCAGGCAGCAAGCCGGGCAGCGCTGCAAGAGCGTTCCAGAGAGTGAAGGTGGAGGAGGTGAGTGCGAGGCTTCCTTGTCCTTTCCAGTGAATCCGAATAGAGCACCACCACTCCTTAGCTAGTCCAGCACTCTGCATGCTGTTCGGGCTAAGTCTAGTCCAGAGGCACTCCTTAGCACCACTCCTCACTGGCACTCCACCCTGTCTTGTATCAAGCACTCATCACTCCTTTTGCTTCTCTCCCCGAACCTTCTCTTGCTCCTTGTCCCCAACACCCCTACAACCTGCCCCCCCCCCTCAGGTGCAATTCAAAGATCCCCGGCTCATGGATAACTCGTACTGGGCCAAGGTGAGTGGAGCTGGGGCAACATGGGGGTTGGTTACCACCCTACATGGGGGTTACCACCCTACATGGGGGTTACCACGCTACATGGGGGGATGTGGCATGGGTGTTGGGGGGGCATGGAGGGATGGGACATGGGTGTTGGCTCAGGTGCAATTCAAGGGCCCTCGGCTCGTGGAGAACTCGGACTGGGCTACGGTGAGAGGCTGGGACTCAACTCAGCACGCCTGGATGTTCCATGACATTACGGCGTGCTGAGGAGAGCTGATTACATGCTGTCTGGCTGTCTGTCATTCTCCAGCGAGCAGCAAAGCAAATTAGACGAGGCTGCTGAGATGAGCTAATTGCATTCTTTAGGTGCTTTCTTGTATGTGCCTATTCGCTCCCATGATGACACGTGTCCTTCCCATTTGCGCGTGTCCTCCCCGTAGCCCGCTTTGCTCCATCCGCCTTTGCTGCCTTGCCCGCCATCCTTCATGCCCATGCCATGTGTCCGTCCCATGCCACGTGTGCTTGTGCCAATCAGAGCGGGGCGGGCAGTGGATGGGGCGCCAAGGCTCAGGAGGTGCTGGGACAAGTCAGGGGCAGGTGAGAACAGCAGAGACATGGCAGGTGAGAACAACAGAGACATGGCAGGTGAGAACAGCAGAGACATAGCAGGTGAGAACAACAGAGACATGGCAGGTGAGAACAACAGAGACATGGCAGGTGAGAACAACAGAGACATGACAGGTGAGAACAACAGAGACATGGCAGGTGAAAAGCAACAGTATTCCACTCTTTGTTGTCTTGTATCACAGGGCTATTGTCGTGTAATGCTGTGCTTTCAACTGCCTTGTTTCGCCAAAACACGAAATGCATGTATCTGTGTCATAATGCGCACTGCTTCTTGTTCTTGATGTTCCCGTATTCGCGGCACCTGTAATGTGTGGTTACCGCAGGGGTTTCCGCCATGAGAAGACGAAGAAGAAGAGGGGCAGCTACAGGGGTGGTATTATCGACCAGGAAAGCCATTCCATCAAGTTTGCTGATTCCGACGACGAGTAATTGCTGCATGCGATGCTGTGGAACAAACGGTATTTGGACCAAAAATATTATTATTGCATCAGAGATGGGTGGAGCACAGGGTGTAATAAATGTGTTCCCTTGAGTTGACTTCCAACATTGAATGACGTTGATGTGTATGATTGTCTAACAATATCATTTGCGTGGTTGAGAGGCAACCCAACCCAACCCGTGGTCATTTTTTGCCTTGCTACTGGTAATAATCAGCTCAGTGTTTGAAGTGAGGTTGGGGAGAATCTTGCACATGGTTGGGATTGACATTGGATGGCACCTCGGAAGGGCACGACCACCGCGAGAAGGAAAAAGAGCACACAGCTGAGGGACCAGACGTCGACCGTGTGGGTGTAGGAGTGCTGCAGCATCTCCGGTGCTATGAAGGCTGCCGCCGAACCCACTGTCTCCCTGCAGGAAACACCTGGAGATGTGAAGGGAAGGAGGAGGCGTTGGGTTAGGTTGGGCTGAGTTGGGTTGGAAGGAAGAAGAGCATGCAAGCAAGCAACCAGGCGTCCTTGGAGGCGCCTCGGAAGGGCACGGGTGGAAGGGCACGGGTGGAAGGGCACGGGTGGAAGGGCACGGGTGGAAGGGCACGAGTGGAAGGGCACGGGTGGAAGGGCACGGGTGGAAGGGCACGGGTGGAAGGGCACGGGTGGAAGGGCACGGGTGGAAGGGCACGGGTGGAAGGGCACGGGTGGAAGGGCACGGGTGGAAGGGCACGGGTGGAAGGGCACGGGTGGAAGGGCACGGGTGGAAGGGCACGGGTGGAAGGGCACGGGTGGAAGGGCACGAGTGGAAGGGCACGGGTGGAAGGGCACGGGTGGAAGGGCACGGGTGGAAGGGCACGGGTGGAAGGGCACGGGTGGAAGGGCACGGGTGGAAGGGCACGGGTGGAAGGGCACGGGAGGAAGGGCACGGGTGGAAGGGCACGGGCTTATAAAGGGGAGATATGAGAGCGCCACACCCTTGAATCTAGACCGTTGGTCGAGGATGAGGTAGATGGCCTGGGGAGATGGGGAGGACGGGCAGGAATGTGTGAGCTCCTGACCCGTGTGCCCGCCTGTTCGTCCTCTACTCTCATCCTAAGCACCCACTTGGTTCATCACGCCCTCTACAGTCTACCAGCACCCACCTCCGCCTCCCTTACTGTCCCCCTCCTCTACCCTCACCCAAAGCACTCACCTGTTCATCCTCTATTGTCTCCACCAGCTGCACGATGTGAGGATGCGCTCGCACCGTCTCCCCTACTGTCTCCCAACACCCATCTCACTTGTTCGTCCTCTACTATTGTCTCCACCAGCTGCACAATGTGTGGATGGCCTCGCACCGTGTCCAGCACTGCCACCTCGATCATCACGCCCTCTACACCACCCAGTAGCACCCACCTCCTTGTCCCCTACTGCCATCTAGCACCCACCTCCTTGTCCCCTACTGCCAACTAGCACCCACCTCCTTGTCCCCTACTGCCATCTAGCACCCACCTCCTTGTCCCCTACTGCCAACTAGCTCTTACCTCCTTGTCCCCTACTGCCGTCTAGCACCCACCTCCTTGTCCCCTACTGCCATCACGCCCTCTACCCACCTGTTCATCCTCTGTTGTCTCCACCAGCTGCACGATGTGGGGTGCCCTCGCACCGTGTCCAGCGCTGCCACCTCGTTGTGAGTCGGACCGAACAGTTTCTACTGTCACCCACCTGCTCGTCCTCCACTGTTTCCACAAGCTGCACGATGTGTGGATGGCCTCGCACCGTGTCCAGCGCTGCCACCTCGATCATCACGCCCTCCGCATCATCCTCGCTCTGCTGATGTGCCACGGCACCATCCATCCATCCAAACACATGCCATGCCATGCCATGCCATGCCATGCCGATGCCATGACACATGCCGTGCCATGCCATGCCGATATGACACATGCCGTGCCCCGTGCCATCACATCACACATGCCACTCCCCATGCCATGCACCATGCCACGACATGCACCATGCCATGTCATGCCATGTGAGAAATACATGCACAAGAACATGATTCCAGGACATTCACACATGAGGAATGTATAGGAACAAGGGCGCAACTTAGACTGAGATGAAGAAGCGCGAAGTATTAACAAAAGAATGAACAAAACACGCCAAAACAACTAATAACTCGAAACGTCACAGCCTTATGAGAATTCTCTAGGAACAAGGGCGCAACTTAGACTGAGATGAATAAGCGCGAAGGAACAGGCAAAAAAGAAAAAGAAAAAGATAGTGATAACTTACAAGATGACAGCCTTCTCACCAGTAATCTTCTCACCATAATGGTTGCTTTCTTGATCACTCCATGCACTCTCCCATGCACTCTCCCATGCACTCTCCCATGCACTCTCCCATGCACTCTCCCATACACTCTCCCATGCACTCTCCCATGCACTCTCCCATGCACTCTCCCATGCACTCCCATGCACTCTCCCATGCACTCTCCCATGCACTCTCCCATGCACTCTCCCATGCACTCTCCCATGCACTCTCCCATGCACTCCCATGCACTCTCCCATTCACTCCCATGCACTCTCCCATGCACTCCCATTCCATGCACTCTCCCATGCACTCTCCCATGCACTCCCATTCCATGCACTCTCCCATGCACTCTCCCATGCACTCCCATGCACTCTCCCATTCACTCCCATGCACTCTCCCATGCACTCCCATTCCATGCACTCTCCCATGCACTCTCCCATGCACTCTCCCATGCACTCTCCCATGCACTCTCCCATGCACTCTCCCATGCACTCCCCATGCACTCTCCCATGCACTCTCCCATGCACTCTCCCATGCACTCTCCCATGCACTCTCCCATGCACTCCCATGCACTCCCCATGCACTCTCCCATGCACTCTCCCATGCACTCTCCCATGCACTCTCCCATTCACTCCCATGCACTCTCCCATGCACTCCCATTCCATGCACTCTCCCATCCCATAACTGGAGTCTGTCTGTGTGACGGACCAGATGTAAGCAGCGAGGGCAAGCAGCATGTCCCATGACTGGTGTCTGTGTGTCCTGTGTGACCACATCGAGGGCACCCTTGCTGCCATGCACAGCTCACTGGGCTGCACTGCCCTGCACAGCTCACTGGGCTGCACTGCCATGCACAGCTCACTGGGCTGCACTGCCATGCACAGCTCACTGGGCTGCACTGCCATGCACAGCTCACTGGGCTGCACTGCCATGCACAGCTCACTGGGCTGCACTGCCATGCACAGCTCACTGGGCTGCACTGCCATGCACAGCTCACTGGGCTGCACTGCCCTGCACAGCTCACTGGGCTGCACTGCCATGCACAGCTCACTGGGCTGCACTGCCATGCACAGCTCACTGGGCTGCACTGCCATGCACAGCTCACTGGGCTGCACTGCCATGCACAGCTCACTGGGCTGCACTGCCCTGCACAGCTCACTGGGCTGCACTGCCATGCACAGCTCACTGGGCTGCACTGCCATGCACAGCTCACTGGGCTGCACTGCCATGCACAGCTCACTGGGCTGCACTGCCATGCACAGCTCACTGGGCTGCACTGCCCCTGCACTGCCCTCCCTCGAAGCACCACTGCCCTCCCTCGCCTCGAAGCACCGCTGTCGACACCAACGAGGGCTGCACTGTGGGAGGCAGCACGAGTACCGGGCATGGCATCAGTGGCGACCACTCTAACCCACAACCCCTCCAACTTGGATGCCCTCAACACCATCCTTGCCCTATTTTCTCTAATGTTGCTCTTCTCCCTGCCATCCTCTCTCACCTCACCCTCCTGGTCCTCCCCTCTCCAGCCTCCCCCTCTGCACCCCACTCCCGCAAGCACTACCGCAGCTTACATGCCAGCAGGCAAACACCTGCCCCCACCTGCCTGCCACACATGGGAGGGGCGGGAAGACGAACAGCTGACGAGAATCCCGAGCTGGCATGCCACCTCATGCTCATGCTCCCAACTGAAAGTGGGGAGGGGAGAGAAGTGGGTTTGGGGCGAAGGGTGGGGTGGGGGAGGGAGCGCTCAGAAAGATATGGTGGGTGGGTTGTGTGATGGATGGTACAGGACGGTGAAACCCAATGCAGGGTGGGAATGAATTAACAGGTGCTTGGGTGGGAAGCTTCATGGCATAGCAGGCCAGGCAGGCAGAGCATGGCATGCGGAATCTGAGCCACCAGGGAAAACACCTGACAGCCACACCAGGGAAAACACCTGACAGACACACCGTTAGCAGCCATGTGCCACACCCCCGCCACTGCCCCTCACCCCCGCCACTGCCCCTCACCCCCGCCACTGCCCCTCACCCCCGCCACTGCCCCTCACCCCCGCCACTGCCCCTCACCCCCGCCACTGCCCCTACCCCCCACCACTGCCCCTCACCGTCCTACTCTCCCCATGTCTACTCTCCCTGTCTCTACTCTCCCCGTCCTACTCTTCCCGTCCCTACATTCCCATTCCCTACTCTCCCCGACCTTACTCTCCCCGCCCCTACTCTCCCCGTTCCTATTCTTCCCGTTCCTAATCTCCCCGTCCCCACTCTCCCCGTCCCTACTCTACCCGTCCTTATTCTCCGCATCCCTACTATCTCAGTCCCTACTCTCTCAGTCCCTTCTCTCCCCGTCCCTACTCTCCCCGTCCCTACTCTCCCCCTCCCTACTCTCCCCGTCCCTACTCTCCCCGTCCCTACTCTCGTCGTGCATACTTCCATCGTCCCTATTTCCGCCTGCCTATTTCCCGTCCCTATCTTCGCCTGCCTATTTCCCGTACCACCGCGCATCACTCCGTGCCACCGCAGTCCCGCGCATCCCTCCACGAGTGGTGGCGACCGCCAACAGTGCTCGCGCGTGAATGCGCGCATCTCACCCGCCTCGTCACACGCACACCTGCCGCTTCAGTTCCGCCCACGCGGCTGCAGGCGCGCCTGGCGGAAGGGCGGTGGGCGCACGCCAGGCGAGGCGCGCAGCAAACGTGCACCGCGCACCGCTGCCACCGTGACTGGACCAGGGCGCACCATTCATACTTCCCAACGAAACTGGCCCTAGTATGTCGTACTAACTACTAACCTAGTCGCTGGTTCTTCAATCGAAAAAACGCGCTGCCAGCGTTGTCTTCACGTCATTTGCGATCCCCTGCTGTGCTCGCCATTGGTGTGAAGATGTTCTCGCTAGAAGAGGGCTTATGATTGCAGATAGTTCGCGGAATCAGTGAATATCGAGTGCGATTACAAAGAGAGTGATGATACAATTGAAATGAGCGGATGATATAGGGGAAACCCTAGCTAGGCGAGAACCTCGGGAAGTGTGGCGAGTAGTGCGGGGGCGACTCGGGGGTGGTTTGGGGCGAGTTTGTAAGCCGAACCAGCTGACGCGAACCTATCGGAACAGTATTCGCTAAAAGGCTACAGCAGCAACTTAATATAATTTTGTGTGCAGTTATAGTTTCCTTTTTATTTGCAATTATCTACCAATGCAAGGCAGAAACACCCAGACACATAAAGATCAGAAAGAAGGCAGGGCAGCGGGCTAGCATGGGGTGGATGGCATGACTGGTGTCTGTGTGAGGGACCAGATGTGAGCAGTGAGGGCAAGCAGCATGTCCTGTGTGACCACCTCGAGTGCACCCTTGCTGCCATGCACTGCTCACTACACTGCCCCACCACTCCTTCCACTGCTGGCATGCATGACACACGCAAGACACCACGCCCCCTGGGGTGATCTGAGGAGTGAAAATGCACCATCGCACCTTGCACGGAAGGAAGTGCACCACGCCGCACTGCTGCTCCTTGCAGGCCAGCAGACCATCGCCTGCCCCCACCTGCCTGCCACGGGGAGAGACGGGAGGGCGAGCATCTTATGGAGAGCAGAGACGGGCAGAGAGCACAGATGCATCTGAGACGGGCATGCCACCTCATGCTCGCACCTGAGTGAGGGCGACTGAGGGTGAGGAGAGGTGAGAGGTAGGTATCAAGTGAAACGCGGGGAGATGGGAATGAAGGAGCGGGCGCATGGGTGTGTGATGCTTACACAGTAAAATCTGGCAAACGTGATGCCATGGCAGGTAGGCAGAGCACAAGCGGATTCCGAGCCACCAGCAGGGAATGTACCTGACATACACACCGTCAGCAGCAACGTGACTCACTCCCATCCCTGCCCCTCACCCCCACCACTGCCCCTCACTCCACCCATGTGCCGTCACCACTGCGCCTCACCTCCACCCTCCTGCTCCTCCGTACTCTCCCCCCACCCCTCCTTCCCTCTTCCAGTGGCTGACTACCACGTGGCAGGCCTGCTCGGCCTGCCAACTGCGAAGCCCTTCCACTACTGGCATGTGTGGCACGCCGCCCCCCTGGGACAGTGCACCACATCACCAAGCTGGGACACCACACCACCAAGCCGATAACTCCCTTAGCAATGGTTCATTCAGTTTGCTTGCACTTCTCTACTTTGCTTTCTTTCGATCGTGGAAGGGAAACAAGTTGCGGTAGAAGTGCGGTAGTTGCACCGAGCTCGGGTCTACTTCCCGCCAGCCTGCCCGGACCCTTCCCGCTAGCTCTTGTGCTGAACCGCGGGTCAGCCGAGCTGGTGGCGTTGGTTTCTATGTCTTGGCTGGGCTGCCAGCCTGCCACTGCAACAGTGGCGTGGCCATGCACCGCCTTCCAGGCTGGTCAAGCTGGAATTCAACTCAAACACCGCCTTCCTGAGCAACACCCCACCAACCTGGACTGGCTCCATACCAATTTCCTCAAACACCCCCACCCCACCCAACTCGGCTCTGAAATAGCAGCAAAATACAACACCACAGAAACAAAAAGTGTAGAACTATGGTACAAGTATGAAATCAAATCTCCTCCTCACCGTGGCTGATGTGTCGTTCACTTCACGCCACGCTCTTGGCTGGTGTTAGTTACGCAACTGCGCTCGACAAGACCCCCCCTGGGATGGTATGAGGCACAGTGGCATGGTGTGAGGGGCGAGGGGAGAGGAGAGGGGAGAGGGGAGAGGGGAGAGGGGAGAGGGGAGAGGGGAGAGAGGATAGCGGAGAGGGGAGAGGGGAGAGGGGAGAGGCTCCCCCTCATCCCCTACGTCCGAGTTTCTCCCCCTTCCCCCCCTCCTTCCACCCTCCCTCCCCCATCCGCCCACCCGCCCCCCTTCCCCCCACCTCCCCGCCCTCCTCCTTCTGCCCTGGCAGCCCATTCTTCCTTCGACCGTGCCGGAGAGGGTCTGCGTGTAAGCCAACGCGTGCAAGCAGCGCCCCCATTGGAGCACATTCAAATCGCTCGCCCCGCCATCTCCCCCTCTTCCTTCGCCCCCCTTCCTTCCCCCACCCCCTCACCTTCGCCCCCATACCCGGTGGCTGGTATCTGCTGTTGAGTCAGGGAATTTTAGCAAGCACCCGAGCCTCACCCTAGCCGCGCACTCACGGCGGGGTCACGGGGGGGTCACGGCGGGGTGAGGGCAGAGCGGTGCATTGAGTGGATGAGCGCATCACGTGCGCGGTGTGGGGGTGGGCGTGGGGGGGGGGGGAGGGGGGGGGGGGAGGGGGGTTGGGTTCTGGGAGGGCTCAGCACAACTCAACTCATTCGTGTCTCGTGGGGAGAGCGTGGAGAGCAGCAGGCAGCGCGGAGAGCAGCAGGCAGAGTGGAGAGCAGCAGGCAGAGTGGAGAGCAGCAGGCAGCGCGGAGAGCAGCAGGCAGAGTGGAGAGCAGCAGGCAGAGTGGAGAGCAGCAGGCAGAGTGGAGAGCAGCAGGCAGAGTGGAGAGCAGCAGGCAGAGTGGAGAGCAGCAGGCAGAGTGGAGAGCAGCACGGAGCGCGGAGAGCAGCAGGGAGCGCAGAGAGCAGCAGGGAGCGCGGAGAGCAGCAGGGAGCGCGGAGAGCAGCAGAAAGCGCGGGGGTTGAATAGATTTGACGAGGCGACAGCGTCAAGCTCTTTCGCGCTTCTCGCCTCACATCAAATCACGATGCGTGAGGAGGGGAGCGAGGGGGAGGGCGTGAGGAGCTGCGGCATGAGTGTTGGCGGGGAGGAAGGGGAGGGGAAGGGGGTTGGAAGGATGGGAGGGCGGTATCCACTTCACATCCCTAACGCCACGCTCTCGCGCTCGCGCTTCTGCTACGGAGCGATGCGAGGTGACGGTGCGAAGGCGTGCTCAGATTGGCGCACTCGCTGTGCGAAGGCGCGCTCGGCGGACGGTGCTGGCGAGTACGATTGGCGGCCCGCGAGAGCGTGTCACGGCGGGCAGACGAGCAGCGGCGCGACGATACGCGCGGTGGCGAAGCAGGCATGGGTGGTTGGTAGGAGCGGGGCGGTGATCGGGTGTGTGCGCGCGGGGATGGCCCGCCCACCTCGCGTCACGCCGTGCCACCGTCTCTCGCATCCCTTCACCGGTGGCGGGGGCCGCCAACGGTGCTCGCGCGTGAATGCGCGCGTTTCGCCCACCTCGCTCTCCGAGCACCAACCATACTTTCCGACGAAACTGGCCCTAGTCTATCCTACCTACAGACTCGCCCAACGCGCACCAGCCGCTTCAGTGCCCTAGTCTAACGTAACCTTAACCTAGTCGCTGGTTCTTCATGTCGTTTGCAATCTGCTGCTGTGCTCGCCATGAGCGTGAATATCGCTATACTCGCTAATGAGCGGGCTAACGATTGCAGGTAGTTTTCGTAATATTGAACCAACTGAGTGCGAGGAATCAATGAGTAAATGCAAGGAGAGTGACAGTACACTGAAAAAGAGCGGATGATATAGGGCGCAACCTAACTAGGCGAAGACCTAGGGAAAACTAGGCTCGGAAGTGTAGCGAAAGGTGCGGGGCGACTCGGGGGTGGTTTGGGGCAAACATGAATGCCGAACCAGCTGACGCGATATTGTCGGAACTGTGTCACCGAACATGTGTACAATTTGGGGATGCAGTTGTACAGTTACCATTTCCAATCCAAATGCAAATATTTAGTTAATAAACCTACACAAAATGATTGTGCTGCAATAGTGCACAATGGATATATGATAAAAATAAACCATTTGCTATCCAGTCATTCTCAAACCACACAATGAAATCATCACAATCCGTAAAACGGATCAACCCTAAACTTTCAAGCAATTTTCAATTACAAAAAAAAAATACTCAAGCAACTACATGGCGATGGGATGAGATGATGAGATACCGTCATACCTCGGATATACCCCTATGGGAGGCAATAAAAAAACAGGTTTTTTTAGGGGGGTGGGCTTATAATCGAGTAAATTTATAAGCGCCGGCGTTTATAAAATGACATACATGTTTTTTTTATATTTTTTTAACACCAAACTGTAGATCTCGTGCTTGTCTTTTCAATCGAATCGAAATTACATGGGGTCGTCAGTGAAATTCTCGCGCGCGCAAGGAGAACCACCCAATCTGACTCACATCCAGCTCCTGACAGTACTGACTGGACCCGCATCCAGTGCAGGGTCCGAATGTGAAGGGAACCGAATCTGCAACACATCCGCCTGCTAAAGTACAAATCGTTACAGCGTTTTGAACACATTTCAAAAGTTAAAGTTTGTTGGGCTGAGATAGCCCCTTAGGATCTTTGCAAGGGATAACTCTAGGTGAAGTAGTTGTAATAGCGGAAGCGTTTAGTGAAGAATTTGAACCGACCTTGCACTGGTGTGTGAGAGCAAAGTTGATTGCATTAAACAAGCAAATACAAGGATTTATATAAGAGTACAGGGAACAGATAGATAACTGTATTGCTGTTGCGGTTCGATATAGCGCGACTCGGGCAACTGCTCTGTAACGAGTCAGTTGTGTGTCCTTAACTGTCGCGCTGTAATTGTCGAGTCAAAAGTCAGCGACCTTTGACTTTCTCGTAACCTCCAGGCGGTTACCCTAACCTCCGAGGTTGACTCGATGCTTCGATTGGGACTGCTTCGCTTGGTACCTTGGATTTTGATACGACAGAAGCGCACTTAGGACTTATTGTTTCCAACACTCCCCTTCGCTTCTGGAGTGTTACTGCTGGTGACGTGGCCTTGTCCAGTCAGCATCATGCAGTATTCGAACTTCTGCTTGCCGAGTTTCTTGGTCAAGTAATCGGCTGCCATCTCGGATGTTGAACAGTATGACAGATCGAGTTTCCCTTTTTCTATCTCGTCCTTCACGAAGAAATAGCGCAGGGCGATGTGTTTCGTCCTGTTTGCGAAGCCGTTTTTGTTGGCGATGCGAATTGCTGACTGGTTGTCGCAGAACACGGTGAAGCTGGGTAACTCGGCTAGCTTCGCTTCTTCCAGTAGTTCGCGAAGGTAAAGTCCCTCCTTGGTGGCTGAGCAGAGTGCAATATATTCTGCTTCTGCTGAAGATAGTGCGATTAACTCCTGCTTGCTCGACTGCCAGGAGATAGGACCGATAGGCTCAAGGCGGTAGACATAGCCGGTGCGTGAGCGCCTGTTGTCGGTGTCGCCGGCGTGATCGGCGTCGACGTAGCCGATTAGCTTAGTCGGTGTAGCTGCGCTCTTGTGGTAGGTTAGCCCGATCGTCGCGGTGCTGACGAAGTAGTGGAGAGCGCGATCAAGTTCCGCCAGGTGTTCAGCTTCAGGCTTCTTGAGATAGGTGGCGAGCTGACTTGCGGAGTAGGATAAGTCGGGACGGCAGGTGACGGCGGCGAATAGCAGGCATCCGAGCTTCTTCTGATAGTCGCGTATGCCGGCGGGCTTTAGTAGAGTAGTTCGTTCCTTCTCGGTTCCTGATGTGTAGCGGTAGGGCGTGGAGATGGCGCTTGGTGTGAGGCTGAAGCGTTTCGCGATGGTGTCGGCGTATTTCTCGGCGCTTAGATAGATGGCGTTTTCTTCTTCGCGGATGTTGAGCCCGAGGTACTGTGTAACGGTGGAGGAGACCGTGAGCGTGAGGTCTTTCTGGAGCTCTCCTTCGAACCACGTGGCGATGCCGTCGGTTGACCCAATGTAGAGGAGATCGTCCACGTAGACGATCAGGAGAACGTAGTCGCTTCCCTTAGTGAGGCGGTACATGCCTTGGTCGTGAGGTAGTTGACTAAAGCCGATGCGGATGAGACGGGCGTGCAGGTACTGCTGCCACAGTCGCGGTGCCTGCTTGATCCCGTAGAGCGATTTAAGTAGTTGACAGATTCGGTTGGGTTCGCCGTGGGAACCGTGCGGGAGCTCGACGTAGATTTCTGCATCCACAGGTGCGTAG